TAGACCACACTTAGTGACAAAACAAGAAAGTACATAGACTGAAAAATTAGACAGGCAAATGTAACAGAAGTTTTCAAGCAGAAAAACTGGACAGACAAAATAGTAGTAGAAATACACACTCAAAAACTCAAAATAATGGAGTTATCAGCAGCTTTTGAACTGGACAGCAGCTTCACAAAATGCAGAATTTACAACTGACAGGAATAACACAAACTGAAATAACTGAAGAAAAATCACAAAGCAATCACTGGACAGTCGCATATGAAAGGTTCAACAACCTTGTATCACTTGAAACTGCAGTTATTTCCTCAATTGCACGTCAATTTGCCTTCAAAATGCATGCCAAACATTTAACTTTATTGTGTCTTTCTTTTGTTTTTGTCCCCAAAAATTGATTGCTGAAATTACAAGTTTACATCCTTTTACTTCATCTCCAGGAAGGGAGATTACTATCGCTATTTAGCAGAGTTCAAATCAGGGAATGATCGTAAAGAGGCAACTGATCAGTCACTTCAAGCTTTTGAGGTTTCTTTTGTTCCACGCTATCTTATTTGGCTCAATCTTCTTCTATGTCTAGCTGCAGCATTTGTTTCCTTGTTGTTTATGATGACAAATTATTTTTTGATTTATTTAGTTGTTTGTATTCTTCTTAATTAAGCTTATTGCTCTATTTTTGTAGGCTGCTACTGCCACAGCTAGCGCAGATCATGCTCCTACTCACCCAATTATACTTGGACTTGCATTGAACTTCTCAGTCTTCTACTATGCCAGCAAAGTTGTGCATAATGCCTACAAAATCTAATGTTCCCAGGGCAAATTTACAACATAATTCGGTGGTCCGTGGGTCGTTGTGGAGTCATTTGGCTAAAGATAGAAATTTGAAGGTTTTTGAGAAGTTTGACCGAGAGTTAACTTTTTGATATTGGGGTCGGATTCCGATTTCGAAAATTGGAGTAGGTCCATAATGTCGAATATGACTTGTGTGCAAAATTTGAGGTCAATCGGATGTGATTTGATAGGTTCCGGCATCGAATGTTGAAGTTTGAATTTCTCAAGTTCATCAAGTTTGATTTGGGGTGTGATTCGTGATTTTAGCATTTTTTGATGTGAT